TCATGGACTATAGTCAACCCTAACGAAAACAGAAGCAACTTCATTGGTTTCAATAGAATTGTGCCCAGTTGTGCCAGCAATGTATTTGGAACTACTAGTTCACAGCAGTAAAAGATTTTTATAACTCTTTCTGTAAGGACAATACTTTTCAAGAGTTCACGCTGCCCAATGAATTCTCCATTGACAAGTTATGGAACACAGGCCCTGAGAAAGTGCTATTCTGGAGCAGGCTCTAAGTGTCCTTTATCAAACTGTCTGGATGGCCAGTGGAGAGCCGGGTGGTGCTGCGCAACCTGAACTCCTGCTAAGTCCAATTTAGTCCAAATAGTATTCACAAAATTGCAACACTGATAATTAATTACAAGCACAGATTTGATGATACAGTTGTAAAGTGGGGGCCTGGGGCAATTTTCAAATTTAGCCTGTTATTTTCAGTCATTCCCCATCCAGGATATGGACTAAATACCTAAAACCAGGGTCACTGACATTATAACAACTAGCCATACTAAGTTCTGTACACATTTCACCATGTGTTTATCAGAAAAAAAAAAAAAAGTCTGAGCTACTATCACAAAACAGGAAGCTTGGTCCCTTCCCCATCAGCAGTTGAATTTAGGCATGCATTGGTAATGCTGTCTATAGTGGGGTTTTTTTCTGAAACTATTCCTGAGGTTAAAGTCCTAAGACCAGATAGTTCCTTTCCCACATAATGGGAAACATTAGGGGATAAAGCTACTTGCAGCACAATACTTCCACAAAACTTTACCCAATGCCTCTGCTGCCTTGTCCAGTAGGTGAGAATGGCAACATTTGGGACTAAATGACTTCCCCCGTCCAGAGCTGTAAAATAAGTGATTCTCTATGGGCTCTGCTGACACCCTTTTTCTCTAATATCACTGCCGGTCATTTGCAGTACTGCCATTGGTTCCCTCGGTAGGGCTGCACACTAACTTATGAGAGATAGCAATGCCCCTGTGGGAACAGTGGTACTGATCAGATCAGTGTTTACTTCCAAGTCTTTTGGAATCACTAATGTGCTCCTGGAACCCTCATGGAGAGGCTTTGGAATGTTGCTGTTCCCCTAACATTCCTTGCCACTTCTACCCACATAATGGGAGAGGTCTGAAAACAAAACTTAGTACTTGTGAGCAAGTGCATCCATTTTTTTACACAATTCTACACCACTTTGTAATAGGATTGTTCTGTGTAATTTAGGAGCTCTGTAACAATACATAGCTATCAATACAAGTGTCAATCCTAGAGTGTAGTATTATGTTTTAGTTGCAGAAAGATCACCAATATAAAAGGATAAACTCACTTAAATTTGTTAGCATTTAACCTGTCAGTAGACATTTCTAGTCAAAGTATAATTCCTTAGTTCTTGTCAAACTTTTTCCTTGTGTCAAAATAAATAGCTGGCCCTGATCTCTCCTACAGAGTCTTTGCTTTGCTGTTACCTTAAACAGGGCCTGGCTTGTTGGATATTAGCAATAGCATAGGGTTACCATACGTCCGTTTTTTCCCAGACATGTCCGGCTTTTCGGCAATTGCCGAAAAGCCGGACATGTCTGGGGAAAAAACTAACGGGCACTTCCTCTCCTGCGGCTGCTCTGTTCCTCCCCTGACTCAGACTTCGGCTCTGTTTAAGAGCCAAGCTGCCCGAGCCAGCGCTACCGGGTTCGGGCAGCTCCCTTGCCTCCGGACTCCAGCCGCCGGCCGGGCACTTCTCCTCCCCGGCTCCAGCTGCTCTGCTCCGGCAGCGCAGGGTCCGGAGGCAAGGGGGCTGCCCGAAGCCCGTAGTGCTGGCTCAGGCAGCTTGGCTCTTAAACAGAGCCGAAGAGTCAGGGGAGGAGCAGAGCAGCCGGAGCCCGGGAGAGGACGTGCCCGGCCGGGGGCGCAGGGTCCGGAGGCAAGGGGGCTGCCCGAAGACCAAGCGCTACCGGCTTCATGGTTTGCCAGGCAGCCTCCAGACCCTGTGCCCCCGGCTGGGTGCTTCCCCTCCTGGGCTCCAGCTGTGCTGGGGAAGCGCCGGCCGGGGGCGCAGGGTCTGGAGGCTGCCCGGCAAACCGTGAAGCCGGTAGCGCTTGGGCAGCCCTTTTTGCGTGGCTGGGAGGGAGGAGGGGGAGTTAGGGTGGGGACTTTGGGGGAATGGGCGGAGTTGGGCGGGAAGGGGTGGAGTTGGGGCAGGGCCGGGGGTGGGAAAAGGGCGGGGCCAGGGCCCCGTGGAGTGTCCTCTTTTTTTATTTTTTAAATATGGTAACCCTACAATAGCATGCACGTGCAAAACTAGTTTGTGTCCCTTAAACATAACTAAAATGCAGCCTGGTAGGCTCACTCAGCCTCTGAATGATTCTAACCACATTAGCTTGCCATGTTACTCAGCAATAGAATCAGTTTTTACAGGAAGCCTGCTGCACCTACAGCCAAATCACTGCAGCAGTGTGTGCTGTTAATTGCTGGTCTTTGTGCCAAGAATGTCATAAGGACAGACTATGCATTCATACTGACTCTGGAGTGTGGGTAGATACTTTATTTAGAAAGACAGAGTGGAGAGCAGCTTGGAGAGAGCTGCAGTTAAGAATCTTAATCTATAATCACTCCATGAAATCATGGTCTGTGCACTGCACAACAAAACAAGGGCTAACAGATGTTATATAATTCCAGAAATGACTCTGAAAACCTCTATCAATAAAGTGCACCTGCTTTGTAGTCTAGTTTCCTTGGTAAGCACATCATTCCTATGGATCTCAACAGGAGATATGAACCGAGCTTTTTAGATCCCCAGTAGTGTCACTGGGAGAAGTTACCTGACTAGTGGTAAGGCAACTTCTACAGAGAAATGGAGGTAGAATGGAAACTGAAGAGAATATGGTACTTAAACATTACACCTAAAATACTATTGATTTTTTTTCTTCTATTTGAAAAAATTACATTAACAAAATATGCTTACTCTGCATCACCAGCCTATCTTCCTTGAGTGTCCAGAACAATTCCACTGAAGTTTCTACAAAGTCATCCCCTGACTACAAGGGAAGTTTAGATCAGGAACCTTGTAGTCTTGTCTGTAAAGTGCCTAGTGTCATATAAATAACTCAACTTCCAACAACCGGGTTTCTGGTGCTCCTTTTGAATTGTTCTGCACCACTGAAGTGCCTTCATAAATGAGATGTTTAGAGTGCACTCTTCATGGAGAGGTAAGGAATGGCAAAGACAGAAAACTGACAATTTTTGTATTAAAAAGACCTTGAATGATCTAGCTGCATCAGCTCTGGAAAGGACATGGAGGTTAACATAATTACCCAGATTTTCCTATATTTGGGAAGAATCTTTGAGATATCTCACAGAACTTCCTTTAAATCCTTAACCTTTAAATCCAATGGAGCTGTGCTTTAAATCCACACTGGCCTCTGTCCTTGGATCACCTCCCTCTAGGAATGGGAGGGTCCAGGGCCCCAAAGAGAAGAATGCCCGAGTTAATGCTGACTCATGGTATTAATGAAGGCTAGGAATCCCTCCAGGTTTGGGAAGGGGAAGTCCCCCTACAGCTCCACTTTCTCTTGGTCAAGCTATCCCCCTCACAAATTATAGTTCCCCAGTCAAAAGAAGGGCCTAACTCTGGGATCTAGAGGAAGTGGAGGAGAAGGATATACAAGTGGGGAATCACAGGCTGAACACATGCACACAAACCCAATGAGGATCTGACACTGTCTGCCTCCTCTGGCTGGGTAGGCACAGAAGATAAACTTTAAAAAAAAAAAAAAAAAAACTACTCACATAATTGGAACCTAAGTTTCAACACTAAACACCTACAAAATGAGGTAATTTTTAAAATTCTTGTTTTCCACTATTTATGTCCTTTTTTCCTAAATAAC